CCCCCACCATAATACTAGTCACATGTCTCAACATTGCCCGCGTGTCAGACGGTCTCAACAGATGAGTTACTTCTCCTCGCAATCCCTCTACGGAAATATCGGCCATAAATCAACACGAGGGTCAAATTTGTAGACTTTTACTTGATGCCATTTTCTTCAATTTTAATATATCTTTTCATTTCATACTAATAAATTGTACAAACTCAACATATGTGTGACAAGTCCCGGCGGTTTGTTCCACTAGGTACAGATTTCATAATTTGGGTTCTTGGTACAGATGCAAAGAGGACATAATTCCCCTTCATATGACACCATCATCAAATGAATACAATAATATTTAACGAAAAGACGCACAATTCAATTTGGGAATACTTCACTGCTGTCCAAGTCAAAATACTGAGATATATCCTTAATCAAAAGATTTGACAAATAGGCTACTACCATCGCAGAACCAAGTCATTCTCCAAAATAACTTTTAAAACACATTTAACAGCAAATTTTCATGATTTTTAAAATTGATTTTCAGACAGAAAAGTAATTCAAGAGTGTAATAAAGCAACCAAAAAATGTATGCTTATTTTTAGACCCTACATAAGTTTTAGCAATTTCTGCTGTACAGCTCGGTGTACCTAGTGGACCGAACCGTCCGGACGCGTCACATGATGAATCAATCCATTGTGCTCAAATCCAAGAAGTAACTCATTTTGCCATCACGCCTCACAAATCATCAAAATGTTTCATCTAAAACAACAAAATCCTTGACACCGTAGGGAGATCTCCGAAGACTTCGATCAATGGTCAAGTCAGGTCCATGGAGAACGAACGCCACTCGACGGTCACTCCTAGTACTTCTGACAGACGGGGTCAAGTGAAACAACAGGCTCAGTCACATCAACCCTACCACCACCGGGCCCAGTTTGTACTTTCTTCATGAAGGACTTGGCCTGTTCTTAACTTGATTTGTAGTTATAAAAATACTGTTGGTGAATCACTCAGATCGTTTTTCACTTGCCCAATACCATTCAAAGGGTTATTCTACAGGCAGTGTTGTATGGTAAGTTTTTAGTTTTAGTAAGTGTAATACGGCACTTGCAACACAATATGGTCATAAAAGTACCGAAGATTAGAGGTGTTAAAATAGAGTAACAAACACAAAAAAAGGAGGAGACATCTGGACGATAGATGTTTAGTAGGAATAAAGGAGCAAACCACACCAGAACACCCGCCAACCACCCAACTGCTGTAAGATACGGACTAGTGCTGTGATGTTTTTTTTACAAATGGGACTTCTCCTGTTCTTCACTCGACTCCTTCTGTCGTACTCCCGAGATATCTTACACCCCCAACCACACAATCAGTGAGGAGGCAGACAACAGCGGAACAGGAAGAGGTTCCCCCACTGGTAAGTCACACTCTGAACATTACAACAACTTCTCCAAGTTTTTCTCATAATAATAATAATAATAATCATGTAGATGTTTTTACACCCCCATCAACACATTTTAGGTCATATAGGAGGCTGGTCGATGATTAAAAATTCTCCCCACAAAGGAAAGTCTAGAGTCCCGCATGAACAGAAAAACCCCTCAGCTACACCAAAGCCGCCGGGTCCTCGTGATGATCAAGAAAGCATTTGGAAATCCACCAAGTTTTGAGAACGCCCATCCTTATAACTTGTTCACAGGACAGGACAGCTTTGTCCGAGTCAGAACCAGCTGTTGTAGAACCCGCCCGTCCGTCCTCACAACTGCCAGTTGACCTGCACCTTCTGCCCCTTGCGCTGACCGGCGTCCAGTAAAAAAGAGGTTCCCAGACTTTTCCGGAACTCGGCTCTCTGCAGGACCGACATAGACTTCCCTACAGACGACGCACGGCGGAGTTGTTGCTGTTGTTGTATCTGCTGCTGAGGGGGTGTGCGCGAGCCGCGGGTCGAGGGGTTCAACTCTCGCAGACCTCGCTCATATCGCCATGACGACAGCGGGCTGTCGCGGCCAGATTTCACTGAAGACATTTTCGCTGGAGATGATAATGATGATGACGATGATGAAATTCTTACAAGACTCCCAAACTTCCCCGGACTGAGAGAATTTCCTGTGAGGGACAAAACACAATGTTTCGAGGAGCTCTTCTGGGGGGCTGCACTGGCAACGTCAGTGGTTGCTGCATCTGCGTCTGGTGGAGGGGTAGGGGTAGGAGTTGGAGGATTAGGGGTCGGAGTATTCCTAGGAGATGATCTCTCCGGTAGTCTTTTCGTTGGCGTACCAGCTCTCCGACACCACTGGTCTTGAGATGATGACAAAAACGAAGGTGCTGATGGGTTGACTGGCAGAGTGGAGTTTCCTCTATCGACTTCAGGGGTGCCGTTTGTTTTGACCACTGACGGAATAGCATCTGCTCGGCTCTTTGTTGATAGAGTGGCATTTGAACCGCTGTTTGTTGCCCGAGCGGAGATTGAGGAGGAAGAGGAGGACAACAAGGACCTCAAAGTCCTCATATCCCTCTCCCTGACAGACCCTCCCCCATCACAGCTCACCCGACCAGCATCCTTACCCTCCTCCCCACCCCCCATAACATTGCCTGTTGTACCTCCGGCTAGCCCACCACATGTGGGGAAAGTAGAGGACATGCCGTCAACTTCGTCGTCGCCCCCACCCCCATTCTCTGAACAGGAAGTCAAAGATCTGTCATCCACTTTCTCGGGACAAGAAGACGTGTCATCCTGCCGTTCACTAACCGTTTCTTTGACCTTGACCCTATGCCGCAGGGCGTGGGAGGCCACGTTTCTCATAGCCAGTCTCAGAGCTCGAGCCGCCCGCTCTATGGTGGCTTTGTCTGCAGGCGGCGACTTGCCCTCTTTTGTTGCTATTTTGGCCCCTCCAGGCAACAACTTCCCTTCTGCTGTTGCTGTCGACGACGTACCACAGACGGCGCTACAACATCCGGCCGCCACATTTCTCTGAGTCTCCCACACGCTGCGAGCAGACGTCTGCTCCAGACTTGGGCACTTGGGTGGTGCAGGAGGTAGAGTCAGCGACAGTTCCTTGTGGACGGGCCGTTTGCTGGCGGGTACCGTCGCCACGACAATGGTCTGGTCACAGGCACGGTCAATCACTTGTCTGTCCTGATGTACATCCGGCTTTGATCTCGTTGGTCGGATACTGGATGAGGAAGAGGAAGAAAGTTTGGATTTGTCCGTGATGGCGTCATCGACAGAACTCTTGTCATGTCGGGCTGAGGCAGGAAGGGAAGAGGATCGGTGTGTGGCGTACTGTTCTGTCCAGGGCTGGATTATCTCCCCTTCGCTGGTCGAGTTACGCAGCGGGACGGTGTGGCCCCCGCAGAGTCGTGGTACGGTGGTGAGGCAGGGCTTGGTCTGAGAAGAGGCAATTTGCTGGTGGGGGAGGTGAGCGGGGGGCTGGGGGGTGGACGAGCGGACGGTCACACAGGGAACAGCCAGACCCCCCCTCTCACACAGCTGCACGGTTCTCCCCCCTTGTTGACGCTCACTCACACACGGGCCAAACGCAGCCACCTTCTTCTTCTCCCCGTCACCACAGTCCTCGCTCAGAGACCCCGACACTTGCGTGCGCGACAACTGCAATAACCGGTCTTTCCCCTCGTCAACCTTCAGGTTTGTGATGTCTGGCAGCGCGCCGCAGGGCTGTCGGAAGGGGAGGTAAGGACTAGCAGTAGACAGCAGCCGTCGCAAGACTGAGTGTGCGCGGGACGGGGAGTTCTCCTCCTCTGAAGAGCCGCTCTCACCGCTGGCCGAGTCACAGATCAGACTCTGGAACAGCCGGCGCCGATTCTGCACCATCTCCGCACACGCTTCCTCCGAGACCACGTGCGACAGAGACAGCGGCCACCGCCACCGCGATGCCGCCGCTTCCTGTTTTGTTCGCAGGCCAAGAATCTTCTGCACGTTGGGGGAGGAGAAAGACAGCCCGCTGGGGAACACGGACGCAGATTCCGCAGCCGATGCCCGTTTCGGGGATGTCCAAAAAGCTATCTCGGGGTCGGTGAGAGGTTTTAGATGGACGGTCAGCTGATTCTGCGAGGGTATCCATCTTTTGAGATCACGCGGGCTGATGCGAACTAACCGCACACAACACGCAGGCATCGAACGTTTCAACTTCCGGCTGGGTTTATCAAGTCCCGTGTTGACGCGCCGGAGAAAATCTTTGGTCTGTACAGAGTTGAACTTGTACTGGTGGAAGTGTTGGGGGTAGGCCTTCCCACTGTAGCCACGAAACGTGGTCGGGTACATCGCTCGCCGCTCGCGGAGTCTGCCGGCTGTGGGGCTCTTCTTGGGCGTGGAGGTCAGACAGTGGCTCTCGATGTCCGAGAGAACGTGCAGGCTCGGGTCGCCCTTGAAGTGCTTGATGACAAACTGGCCCAGGAGGGAGGTGACCGGGAGGTTGTACAGAGACTTGCACACCGTCATGTTCCTCCTTCCTGGACGGCCCACCTTCCCCCGCCCCCCTCCTCCTCCTCCTCCTCCTCCATCATCATCATCACTGCTGCTACCCTCGCTGCTTCCCTCCTCTTCCTTCTCCTTCTGTCCATCCTTCTCGGTGCGACTACTTTGCGAGAAGAGAGACAGCCTCCTCCGGAACAGCGAGGGGCTTTGGGAGGGTGGCTGCTCACTGCTGTTGTTGACCTCTCTGCCCTCTCGGCTGAGGTGAGAGATGAGCAGCTTGGGCGTGCGGGGCACCAGCGGGGACACGGGGACGTCCTCCTCCAGGTTGATGCTCTCACACTCTGTGTTTCGACGCTTGCGACAAACCTGCGCAGCCTTCTTCTTGGGCAGGAGTCCCAGAGCAGACACAAAACTTTCCTTGGGCGGCCGCACAAACGTGGAGGGCTGCTGGTAGGGGCAGGAGTTTGAGTCTTTTTGTGGGGTGAGGTAGGGGGAGGCCGGGTCCTGCTCTAAGGCACACAGGAGTGGGGGGAGGGGCGAGGCCGGGCTGGGCTCCCCGGACGACAAGATGGAGGCTGGCTGCGCGGCCCAGCCCGGCGGAGTGACAGCCTGGAGTTCCGGGGGCTTCATGTCGCACATCCACTGGTGCTCTCGGAGAACGGGACGCGACGAGAACTCTTCCCCACAGTAGAAACAGATGTACACGTCCACAAAACCTCTCTTCACACCTGTGGACGAACAAACAAAACAATTACTCCAGAAAGATGTTCGTTGTGTACCAAGTATGACTCAGATTGACACCCTAAGAAAAAGACAAATAGACACATAGCAATGAAAAAGAAATTTTGAAGAAGTTGAACTTATCAGTGATGCCCTCCAACCACTAATTACCACAAGAAACGGATAACACACACACTGACATGCATACATCCACACAAGACAGACACCACACACACAAACACACATAACAAACCAGAAAAGACACACACATAAACACACATATAAGAGAACAAACACACATACAAGAAAATTGAATATACACACATACACATACACACACACACGACAAACACGCCAAGACACAAGCATAAACACACATACAAGAAAAGACACACACAGACACACACATACATACACACACACACACATACATACACACAACACAAACACACACAACACACACACACACACACAAGACCCACAGACACAGATAGACACACACATACACACAAACACACACACACACACAGACACACGGACACAGACACACACACACAATACACACACACACACACACAAAGCTTACCAAAGATGAACTGTGCCTCTGCGGGAGATCCCTTGGTCTGCTCAGTTTTCTTCCCCTGCACAGACATAAGAAGACAACAGTCTCAGTTCCTAGCTCATCTCTTTTACTTTACTTTTACTAACAGTTTGGTTTTGTTTTGTTAGGTTTTTTTTGGTTTTAATAAGAGTTTTAAGGCACTTGCAACACAACAAGGTCATATAAGTGCCGAAGATTAGAGGCATTATAAGAGAGTAACAAACAAAAAAGGAGAGATTCAGGACAACAGATGTTTGATAGGAAAGAAGGAGCAAACCACACTAGAGCACCCGCCAACCACTCACTTAGTAAGGTTTTTACGGCGCTCGCAACTGCATAATAAGGTCATATGAGCGCCAAGGGATGGATGTCAACAGAGAAGACTTACAGTACAGGGAATCAAACTTATTCTGCTGACCTCTCCAGCTTCAACAGCACAAAGTCTGCTTTGCCTATCAAGGCACCCTGGAAATAGCGGGTCACAAGAGTGTGACAAACATACAAAAGAAGTAGCGGAAAAATTGACGATAGTAAGGATTAGAAAAGAAAAAGTAGCAGTTCCCTGTTGGAGTTCAGGCACAGTTATGAGCAAGACATTGATGAATCAGCCCATTTACAATTACAATTTTACTGTGCATAAGAACTCCATGTG